GACGGAGAAAGGAGGCAATATATGGTCCTATCACCTCTCCATCGCCGTTCTGTTCCTTCGTTCTTGGTCGACGTTTCAAGTTGTTTTCCACTACACAAAGCAACCTGATTAAAAACAACAACAGAATCAGAAATATCTGAGATGCTATAAAACAGGACAAAAAAAAAGGCTAAATGAAAATCACAGACTGAAATAACTGAGATTTGATAGAATAAAGACCAATTAAAGTGATCAAATGAAGCATGAATAATCCTCAGAATCAGACAGAATTAAGGATAGAGATTTTTGTTGGACATTAGACATGAATTTACAAAGAGAAGCTTCTGGCGAACCTTCTATCAGGTGAGGGTTGGTCTAGTGCACACAAACATGTAACATGACACGTGGTTTCCTGAGTAGAGCAGCCTTGTCTGGTAAACGGAAACTTACACCAACCTTCACAAGCACAGCTTTGTATTCTGCGTTCACTTTGTGGTGATTCTGCACGGCATCAAGATGTCCTGTCAGCATCCTTATCTGAATCCCGTAAGCACTTTAACCTGCATGTTTCATTTTATTTTTGTCGTTTAATTTTCTTCACTGTATCCAGATTGTTTCCTGTATCCTGTGACACGGCTATTGTTGTATAATTTAATAATACTAAAATTTAAAGCTCAATAGCCTTTGAAGAGAATGACTTACAATCATAAAACCATCTGTAAAAGTTCTCATGTAGGTGTCTATATTTAGTCATGTTTAGAGATTATACATCGGTGCATTAAATTATCCATCGGCCATATGCCGATAGTTTAAGAACATCCGATGATCAGGGCCGATTATATCCTGTCAATGAAAAGAGGGTGGGAAAACACATGGATTTCGTGTTGTGGGTACAGAAGATGTCTCTTGTGTGGATTTTTTTGTGAAATTGTCTGCAGTTTGTAATCTCTGCAATCTGTGCACTATTCAAAAAAAAAATATTACACCGGAAGTGAGCAGTAGTGAAACGGAAGTTTCTGAATCAAGACAGCCAAATTGTTCGCGCTGAATTTATATATATATATATATATTGATATTAAAACAAAGTTGATATTATATATGACCAGTGTGATGTTCAGTTATGAAGTAGAAATGCTTGTGTTTGTGGTGAGTGAATGTGAAGACTAACAGGAGGTTTTTTTAGAATTCAGCCAATGTTATTATGAATTAATAACATTCAATAAGTTAAGAAATCTTAATTTAATCTTTAGTTCATGTGTTAATGTTAATTAGAGTAATGTGTTTTCTGTTTATGAGACCAGTTACTGTGAAACAGCTTGTTGAAATGGAGAGGATAAAGTTTTTATTTGCATTTCTTTCAGAATTGTACAATTAATTATTATTTAATTTAAAAGAAGGCGTAAAAGGCAGAAGTATCGATATCAGTTATTGGTATCGGCTGAGAAATTTAGCATCGGTGCATCTCTAGTCATGTTGCCTGTCCATTCAGAAAGCTGCTCCTCTCGCAGTTGCTTGAGGGGTTTTAGCCTAGGTTTTGGAGAGAACACTGAAGAGAAGGGCTGTATTTTTTTAATCATTATTATTTTGAACTATAGTTTTGCAGCCAGATTCTGCCAAAGGTACTGACTGTTCCTTTTAAGATGTTTGCACATTTCCACATCTGAAATTTCCAGGGACTTGCAAATCAGGAAACAGAATTCATTTTGGTTTGTTTTCATGATTGAATTTCCTCCCAATTAGAAACTCCCGTTTACGGGCTGTATCCAAGGCGGCCTGTTTGAAGGGAAGACCATCACTCTGACAGGTCGAGTCCTGGCAGGAGCAGAGAGGTGAGAATGCTAAACCTGATGCAAAACCAACTGAAAGGAAATTCTCTTATATGATGTACTCTCTTATATTATGAACTGCTATCAAATTCCTATGATAAATGTATACATGGAAGATCACCTGACATCTGTATTATAGTAGACTTATTTTGTAGTATGACCCTGGGTGCTGTGTGTTTTGTCTATCTGTCTGGCCCCTGCACAAGTAGAAACTGTACACGCACTGCTGTTATCAATGTGTATAAATACTTCCTGGTTTGCATGAATACACTCGGATGTCTATGTGAGCATACATGTGTTAGTGTGTGTTCATTTAGGCTCCCCAGATCGATCTGAAACACTCTGAGGAGAACCACACTTTCTAAGCACAGAACTAAAAGTTAATAGAAGTAATTATTGTAGAACAGGCTGGAGGCCATGACAGAAGATCTGAAAGGCATAATCTGATATTCCTGATATACATGGAAATCTAACACCTACCACGTGGTAAAAAAGGAAGTATAAACTGGGCTCTCATTTGATAAAATCTATATTATTTGCATGGCCTGTTTTTGCCAAGTGACACGTGACACACCTTGGGTCAAGTCAGTCTGGTTGGTGCTAAATTCTTAATCATTTACAGGTTAATCTTTACAGCGTAATCATTGATACGGCTAACAATGTGATATTAAGGTTAGATATGCTAAGGTTAACATGATGCGAAATGTATGCACCTGGTTATGACTAATGCTATGTTGGATATCATGTAGCTAAAGTAGACGATTTAGAGCAATACAAATATTTTGAAAGCATATGAGGAGAATTCGCCATAGCGTGTTCACCCAAGGACTTTATATAAGGTTTATGTTTTAATATTGATAGGCCACTAGTATACAATTCCTTTATTAATAAATAATTCCTTTATGCATAAATCCATGTCAAACATTTCTCTTATATTTGTTTACTGCAAAAAATAAGTCTCCAGTTTCAGTGTTTTGTAGCAACAAGAGGTAAAGCTGTAACTTTAACATTTTGGTCCTTTACAAGATAGGGGGTTGTTTTTGGGGGGTTTGTTGTCTTTTTGACTTTAAGAGAAGTTGGTGAAGAAATTTGTTTATAGGTGCTATAACGTAAGTGGAACTAACTTATTTCACAGACGTTCCACAACATTAAAAGTAACTATAAAATATATACATATGCGACATGTTTTTATAATAAATAAAAATGTTAGCACTGGTACATTGCTGTGGTGTATGAGGAATAAAAACCTAAGTGAAAAGAATTCACTTTAGGGTGGTAACAGTGACTCCATTACACCACTGTGTCGGTGATAATTTTCCTATAACTGCACGCCCCAAGAGAACGTCCCCCATGTTGTCCCACAGCCTCCTGTCATTTGATGAAAATGAGAACGTATAAACTAATTAGGCTTTGATTTTATGGACAGGTTTTGTGTGAATTTGCAAAGTGGCACCAAGGCAAACAGTGATATCGTCCTCCACTTCAACCCACGCTACAGCGGTAACTCGGGCCACGTGGTGTGTAACACGCTGCAGGGTTCCTGTTGGGGTTCCGAGCAACGGAGCAAACACACCCCACTTCCCAAAGGCTCCGACTTCACCCTCACCTTCCTGGTCAACCGAGACTCCTATTCGGTTTGGAAACACCGCCTTTTATCTCTTATATTAATTGTACACTACTTTAATTATTCCCCTTTAGCTTATTTACTACTTATTTACCTTTTCTCCATCTCGTAGTCCATGTGTTGTGCTGATGTAGAAAGATTCTATTACAGTTACATTACAGTACATTATCTGTTACATTTCTCTTACAGAACCAATAAAGTAACGCTCTACCTATCGGTTTATCCATCTAACTTGTGCCGCTGTCTCAGGTGATCGTGAACGGAATACATTTCCTGGAGTACTTGCACCGTCTCCCTGTCTCCCTCGTGAACGCGATCTCTGTGAACGGAGGTGTAGAGATCACATCCATCACGTTCCAAAATCCAGCTGTGAGTATCAACCGAAGCAGAAAAAGCCAATTATGATTTGCATTCAGACTCCGCCATAAATATGGCATTGTTTATTTGCAGACCTCGTGGGTGGCACAACCCAGCTTTGCACACACGGTACGTTTATGAAATTTTCACAGACATCAATGTTGCAGTCTGTAAAAGGCCTACACGTCAAAAATTATCATTAGTTCATTAGGACAAGTTACACTGTTTGATATCTGCTACATTTCTACTTCAGGTGAAGGCTTCTTACCCTGTCCATGGTTTGGGGGTTGTGAGTAAACTTCTGATTTCTTTTTTTTTTGTTTTATCAGTCCTTTCATTTCATTACATGTTTATCTGTAATGTAGATCCTGTTATCTTTCTTCACAGACACCTCCTCCGTACAGTCCTCCACATGCTTATGTAAGAACCACATAATCCCATAATCCACTACAGAAGGTCTTTTTTTTTTATATATGTGTTTTTCTTCTTCTTCTTCTTCTTCTTCCTGTCCCATGTATTCGTTCCTGGTTTGCTGTCACATTGTGTTTTGTTTTTCATTTGTTGATGTGCACGTGTCCATATTGTTCTCCAAAGAGAAGGCCTGTTGTTGTTTTTTTGTTTTTTGTTTAAAGAAGGAATTCCGATTAATTCATTTTCCTTTCTATTTATAAATTGCAGATTTTTCAAAGTCACATTTGAATTCCGGTTTTCAATTTGGGCTTTATGTAGCCAAACCCTTTTGACATACTTTCTTAATTCAACTTGCTATACACTACACGACACTTTTAACTTTTTCTTTTTCCTTTAATCTGACACTTTTTATCCAAAGTAAATAAATGAAGGTTAAATATTTTGCTCAAAGAACCAACAGCTAGCAAACACTTTAGTTAGCAAAGCAGGTAGTTAGCAGGATAGTTAGTTAGCATGCCAAGCAGTATGAAGTATATTTATTCAAATAAATGTACTGCATATCATATATCAGAAATTACCAGCAGGGGATATAAAGCCTATTTCCATGGTGATTTGTATGGTCTAGTTCCACAATTTGCTAACTACCTCAGGAGCACATTCGCATGCTACGCAGTACTATAGTAGAATAGCATCTGAAGCAAACTATTTGAAATGGACCTTCCAAATCGCCATGGGGGGGTCTGTTTTAGATGTAATTTAAATGTCCATCTACAATTCTTTGAACAACATAAATAATATTAGGAGGCAGCGGTGGCTTAGTGGTTAAGGCTTTGGGTCATTGATTGGAAGGTCAGGGGTTCAAGTCCCAGCAATGCCAAGCTGCCTCTGGGTTGTGTTAAATCTGAATATTAAAGTGCTATGTACAGAATTTATAAGGAGTTCAGGGATATTTCTGAAAATAAATTTTTTCACGTCTCCTCAGGTGTTGCCATATAAAGCCATTCTCCAGGGTGGAATTTACCCCGGCAGAGTCATCACTGTACAAGGCTGTGTCAACCACGATGCTGTCAGGTGTGTGTGTGTGTTTTAGCAATGGCTGTGGATTACAAAAAACCCTCTTAGAAATAGTGTGAAATAGTTAACGTAGGAAACGTTAACAAGGTGTGCTTCAAAGACACTTAGTACTTAGATGAACTTTGTGATATACAGTATGAACAACAACAAAAAAGCTAACTAATACACAGTACCATAATGAAACAGAACATCAGTCATTTCGGCGGGTAACATCATAGCAAAAGGGAACACAGCTAGAGAGACACCAATTGAGCGTATGCATGCGTTGCATACTCGCACAAGTAGTATGTTCACACGTTCCTGGAATATTGCACAGGGGAGAGGAGAATGTTTAAACCAGAAATTTTGCTCCTGCTGATGTTGTTTAGGTGCAGGTCAATGATGTGGTGGAGTTTTTCCATTTCCTTTAAGAGCAAAATTTTAGTGTTTGATTTTTTAGTGTTACATTCATTAGGCGGTGAATTAGATAGTTGACGATATTACTGAATCTGCTACAATACGACACAATACAATACGATATTATACCATTTTAATTCATAAGGCAACAATTCGATAGATGAAGATACCAATGAATCCACTATGATATGATACGATATGATGTGATAAGATTTTGATCCATAAGGATATTTAATATTTGACAATACCACTGAATCTGCTACGATACGATATATGGTATGATACGATTTTGATCCATAAGGCAGCAATTTGATATTTAACAGTACCACTATTTGATGATATCACTGAATCTGCTACGATACAATATTATACAAAAACGATACGATACGATTTTGATCCAGAAGGCAATGAGTCTATATTTGACGATACCTCTGAATCTGCTGATAAGCTTCAGATAACAAGATGACGTTTTAGACTTCAGCTTTGGGCTAAAGTTTTTTTTCTCTCCATCCTTTCTTCCCAGGTTCGACATCAACCTGCGTTACAACTCAGGCATTGCGTTCCACTTCAATCCACGGTTCAATGAGAACGTAGTGGTGCGCAACAGCCTGATGAATGAGTGCTGGGGTCATGAGGAAAGAAGTGGTGGCATGCCCTTCTACAGAGGCCAGCAGTTTACGGTAATCAAAACCTCTCTGCAGTTTTCATGCTGAGAAGGACGTACAAACAGATGAGTTCGGTCGGATCCTGTTGAGCTTTTTTATATAACTAGGATAGACAGAATAGGTTTAGTACAAGGATAAACTGTATCTAAAGGCCCACAGCAGTGCAACAAATTAGAGAAAAAAAGAAAACAGAGAAGCTTCAGCTTTCTACATGACACACATTCATCATTTTGTTATATATATATATATATATATATATATATATATATATATATATATATATATATATATATATATATATATATATATATATATATATATATATATATATATATTATATATATATATATATATATATATATATATATATATATTATATTTCAAGAGAGTGAAAATAAGAGGCTAGTGATAGAACAAATGTTTATAGCTGCTATATATATGATTGATAGCAAGAACTTGTTTCGCAGACATGAGACGTAACTATAAATGGATAAAAATGATCATTGTTGGGAAATTACTGTGGTATAAGATGAATAAAACACTCCAGAACATGCAGTTACTGAACAATATTCCAATTCATGGTGGTAGCTGAAACTCTGCTTCAATGCACCACCGTGTCTTTAATTATTTTCCTACAACAGTACGCCCCCTAGTGTTTTGTTCCAAACTGAACACCCTGAAATAATTTACACTGAGTTTATAAAACCTTGCAATTTTCAATACACATCAATATCACCTGAACGCTTCATATTTTCTCATGCATGGTTTTATGAATGTTACACAGTGCTTTTGCCTGTGTTGTGAATTTGTTACTTGGATAACCTTTGAAGAAAGTGTATTGTATTTCAGGTGAGCATCACGTGCGACACTCAGTGCTACAGGATCGCGGTGAACGGCGTACAAATGTTCACCTACAACCACCGTCACTTCCTGTTTCAGCAGATCGACATCCTGGAGGTTGAAGGAAACATCAGTGTCAGTTCTGTCTTGTTTTAAGGGCTGTCTTGTTACAAAAGGCTTTAATGGGAGAAACTTTTGTCCTCTACTAATACAATCAGTTTATTGTATTGTCTAAAGTAGATCTTGATTATAGGATTATTGGTTGGTATATAATTTTATACTTTTATAAGATTGCACTGTAACACATTAACCACTCTGCTCCACTATGCTTCTTTTTTGTTCTTAATAAAAAATATTCAGAAAGAAATAGTCTGTAGCTTGTTTTTCTGCTTTTAAAATGTTATATAGATAAAAATGACATTCAATTAATAGTTCGTTATTTCAAGTTAATATCTCATTATTTGCAGATATTACGCCATTATTTTTTTCTTGGTAACTCATCATTTTCCCATAACTGATTTCATGATTTATTGGGTCATTATGAAGATAATCTCATTTAACTTAACAACAACTTGTCATTTTAAGATATTATGTCATTATTTAGATTTAAATACTTCTTGTTCGAATATACAGTATATCGCCAGTATTTTTTATTTAATATCTCATTATTTCAACTTAGCCAATCATTATTTCCACTTAACTTGTTATTTCAAGTTAAGATCTTGTTATTTTGACAATAATTACTTAATTATGAATTATTTTAGAAATAATAATGTTATTTTGACATAAATTGTTATTTTGACTTATAAGAATATATAACTTAATATTTCAAGATGTTAAGTTGTTATTTTGACTTAATAACTCATTACTTTGGCGTATTCATAATATCTCATTAAGAATAATGTAAGAATATTAGCTGATAATTCTAACTTATTTTCTCCAACGTGGGTTTCTGGGCATTTATACTTAATTTTCAAAACTAAGTTTTGCTCATGTGAATATTCAATGCTACATAGGCAAAAACCTTTCTTTTTTTCCCTAGTTTAATGTGTGGTAAAGGCCCAGTGAAACAAAAATTGATGTAGTCATTGATGATGATGAATTAATAATAAAAGAAGCTTTGCTGAACTCGTCATTGCATCAGTTTATGGTAACTTTAGTATATAGTCTATATTTGTGTACTTCAGAAACTGCACTCTAACACAGTTGATTAAACTAATGCACTCATGAACAGGTTCACTGGGTGTGTTAGAGCAGTAAAATCACACACACACACACACACACACACACAGAGTTTCCACCTCTGGTATATCGCTTCCACAGGATACTCATGGACAGATGACTCACGTTATTTTGTGTGTATGTGTGTGTGTGTGTGCGTGTACAGTGTACTCAGTGTTCTCCAAGCACCGTGTGTCATTTCCGCTATCTTCATCCATGCCTCTATTCTCAGTTTTGTCCACACAGAGGCTCAACACACACTGCAACAAGCCAGCCTTTCTTCCACTGCAGTCTTTCTGACATTCTTCTGATTAATGAGTTGAGTTCATTTCAGAGCATGTGATCGTTAAACGACTTCAGATATGAGAAATGTAGGAAAGGACCACAATCGAAGCTATAGCCGCTCACTTTTAGCAGCACTATAGTACACAACTGTCAAAATGTAATGATGTATGCTTGCTCATTAGGGATAAATCTAAATCTACAGGGTTTCCCAAAAATCTCCATACAGAGGGGATTATGTTTCCCAGCACCATGTCAGTTGTGCCTTCGTCAGTGGATGTTCGAGAATGTCTACTTCTCGTTTGGTCCAGTCTTTTTGAATTTGTTAATAAGTTTGGCAGCAGTGTCGTGTGTGATGATGTGCTCGCCGAGTTTCCTGTTAAGGTCCATTGCAGCCTTCAGACAGCTTCCCAGTTCCAGCCATGAGAATGATTACGAAACGTTCTTCTTTTGTCAAAGGCGTTCAAAGATATATGTGGATATCTGTAAAGATGCTTTGTGACAATGTCCATCGTTAAAAGGTGTATATGAACATAATTGGATTGAATTTAATTTTGGCTCTTTTTTTCTTCTTCTTCTTCCTCTTATTATCCATCCATCCATCCAACTTCTATACCGCTTTATCCTTCTTTCAGGGTCATGGGGAACCTGGAGCCTATCCCAGGGAGCATCGTCCACAAGGCGGGGTACACCCTGGACAGGGTGCCAATCCATTGCAGGGCAAAATCACATACACATTCATGCACTATGGACACTTTGGACATGCCAATCAGCCTACCATGCATGTCTTTGGACTGGTGGAGGAAACCGGAGTACCCGGAGGAAACCCCCGGAGCACGGGGAGAACATGCAAACTCCGCACACACAGGGCTACGGTGGCAATCGAACCCCGACCCTGGAGATGTGAGGCGAACGTGCTAACCACTAAGCCCCTCTTATTATTATTTGAATAAATTCTGTTTTTTTAAATATATAAATATCCCTTTTTTGAGTGTGGACTTACCTACTAAACAGTAATATCCTTGGTGGGATATTCGGTTCCAACCAACTCCACAAACATCATTCATACACTATGGACAATTTGGAAATGCCAATCAGTGCAGGTCAAAACTCAGTTGAAACCTCCAAAGCATGGGGCGAGCATTCAAACTCCGGGCACAGATGACAGATGCAGGATTTGAACCCCACAACCCAGGAGGTGTGCCACAAAACCTGGTAAACACTAACTCACGTGTTTGTGCTCTCTTGGAAAGGTTTAAAAAAAAAAAGTTTTTTTTTGGGGGGGGGGTTGGTTCCTTGCTCCCCCCCCCCTTCTTCCCCCACTGTTGGGCCCTAGAAAAAATTTTTTTGTAAGGCCCTTAACCCTCTCTGCTCCAGGGGTGCCGTATCATGTCTGACC